GGAACTTACCTAACCTAAAAAATGACATCTACAAAAGATAAACTATAGGTAACACATAATAGTAAAAGACTGAATTTTTTTTCCCTAAAACAGGAACAAGGCAAGGACATCTACTCTCACCGTTCCTATTCAACATGTTTGAACAACAGTTCAAACCAACACAATAAAAAATAAATGACATAGAGATTGGAAGGGAAGAGGCCATCTCTCTTGACAGACAACACTAAATACACAGTATGAAAGAATTTACAAAAATCCCCAAAACTAATGAGAAATTGGCAATGTCATTCAAAGCCACAATTTATGATCTCCAGATCTCTATATGAAACTGCAACTGGATATCTTCACTTGTATGTCCCAAGAACGCAACTCCTAAGACTATTTCCACAACTGAATTTATTATCCCTCCAAAATTGGTCTTTAAAAATACATGTTTCCAGGGTACCTGGCTGGCTCAGTCACTGGTACATGCAACCCTTGATCGCGGGGTTGTAAGTTCAAGTCCCATGCTGGGTGTAAAAACTACTTAAAAATATTAGATAGATAGATAGATAGATAGGGGTACCTGGGTGGCTCAGTGGGTTAAAGCCTCTGCCTTCGGCTCAGGTCCTGATCCCAGGGTTCTGGGATCGAGCCCAGCATCAGGCTCTCTGCTCAGCAGGGAGCCTGCTTCCTCCTCTCTCTCTGCCTGCCTCTCAGCCTACTTGTGATCTCTGTCAAATAAATATAAAATCCTTAAAAAAAAGGAAAAAAGATATTATAAAAAATACTATATATACACATACATATGCACACACATATATATTTACATATATACACATACATACTTATATATACATATATATGTATGTGTATATATGTATTTACATATGTATATATGTGTATGTATTTCCCATTATCTTTAAGTAATACCACCAATTTACTTGTTCTAATATTCATAGCTTTTCAAAACTGATTTATCCATCCACCCAAGTTACAAAAGAGAGATTCATCTTAGACTTCTTCCAACTCCAAATCTACTTGGGTCACTTAGGAAATCAGTTAACTTGTTATGAAACAAACTGCTCCAAATCTGAAGGTTTAAAAGGAAATATTTATTATTTCCTGTGATTCTGTGGTTTGACTAGCTGATTCTTCTGGTCTGAACCATTTAGTTGGGGCTGGGTGTCTAGGATGACCTCACACATATGTTTGTCAACTGGGAAGGCTGAGATGGTTGGGACACTTGGTGCCTCTCTCCAAGTGCCTCCTATAGGAGGCAAAGCCTGATTTGATTATATGGTGGCTAAAGAGTTATCAGCTGTAAAAGGGCAAGTCACAACATGCAAACATTTTTCGAGTCTCCACTGAATTATAACTGCTATCATCTCAATGGCCAAAGCAAGCCACATGAGTTAGCCAGTCTGGGAGGGGATTACCCAAGGGTATGACCAAATGGCTTGAGAAGAAGGGCATAACTGCAACAATTATCAGACTTAATCCTATTTATTTATCTCCTCCAATCTCATGAATCCCATTTTACTGAGGAGTTCAAGATCTTCTCATCTCTATTGTAATACTCTCCTAACTGAGCTTGTATTACTATAAGCTATCAGCATGTGAATTTTCTGGAAAATGCAAATCTTGTCACAAAACTCTGCCGCTTAAAACTAAATAGCTTTCTGGGGCGCCGGGGTGGCTCAGTGGTTTAAGCCTCTGCCTTCGGCTCAGGTCATGATCTCAGGGTCCTGGGATCGAGGCCCGCATTGGGTTCTCTGCTCAGCAGGGAGCCTGCTTCCTCCTCTCTCTGCCTGCCTCTCTGCCTACTTGTAATCTCTCTCTCTCTCTGTCAAATGAATAAATAAAATCTTAAAAAAAAAAAAAAACCAACTAAATAGCTTTCCTTTGGCCATTAGAATAAACTATGGAATAAATCCCTAGATGAGAACCACAAAATCTTTCATTTTCTAGCCCATACTTATTCTTACTATTCTCTCATATGCACCCTACTCTTTCAGAAACAAACAAACAAAAAAATTCCTTCAAAGGGCCATTATGTTCAATACCATGCCCTTCCACCTAATGTTATTTTTATCTGAAATGTCCATCCATTTACTGCTTGTGTCCTGGCAAATTTTGACATATTCTTCAAGAGTCATCTCAAATACCACAAATTTAATGAAGCAGTTCCTTCCTGACAAAGTTAAATACTCCTGTTCTTGCTTCCATTGCATCTCATGCAACCTTCAATTATAGTGTTTATTCCAATACACTACAATTATTTGTTTGGAGACTTGTCTAGCCACTTATGTCACTGTGGGAGGACTGTGTTTTTTTTAATGTCTACCTCTTCAACGTCTAGTACAATTCTTGACATTTAGTACTCAGCAAATGCTGTTTGAATTAATCAATTAAAATACCCATTTCTGCATTCTAGTTGCCAGTGGAAAGAAAATGTATCAGATAAGTCTATCACTGTCAAATCTTGTCATCACCTCAGTACTCTTCTTCAAATGTTACTTTTCGTCAAGTTGTTTGAGTGGAGTACAGTTCCAAGTATACTAGCAAATTCTGAATATGTACTAATATACCTGCAATGTGTTATGAATGTGTTAAAATAAGAATTTAAACATTACAGTGAGATATACAAATGTAATAAAATTTAAATGTACCTAATGTATTAAAATTATCAATGTACTAAATGACTGATGCCCCATTATAACTATAGCTAGATTACATGAGACTCTCTTCTTTCTGTTTCCTTAAATCACCATACCTTTTAAAGTTTAAAATAAAATTATTCACGTTGTAGGGGCACCCGGGTGGCTCAGTTAAGCGTTTGCCTTCGACTCAGGTCATGATCCTAGGATCCTGGGATCCAGCCCCGCATTGGGCTCCCTGCTCAGCAGGAAGCTTGCTTCTCTCTCTCCTACTCCCCTTGCTTGTGTTCCCTCTCTCGCTGTGTCTGTCAAATAAATAAATAAAATCTTTAAAAAAAAAATCCGTGTTGTAGGTGGAATGAAAGGATATATACAAAAATATGTCTCCTTCAAGAACTCACTACAGTCCAGAGCCTGGCCTTTGCTATGGTCCTAATATTTGTATCCCCTACAAAATTCATACACTAAATCCTAAAGTCCAGTGTGATGGTATTAGGAGGTGGAGATGATTAGGTCATTAGGTGATTAGGTCATGAAGGCACAGCCCTTATGAATGAGATTCCAAAGAGTTTCCTCCACCCTTCCACCATAGAAGGACATAGCAAGAATATGAAACATATTCAAGGAAACAGGTACTCACCAGACACCAAATCTGCCAGCACTTTGATGGTAAACTTCTTCGGCTCCTGAACTGTGAGAAATAAATTTGTTGTTTATGAGCTACCTAGTCAATAACTTTGCAGCCCAAATGGACTAAGACAGCCTTACTAACCCAGAAACTGAATCTGTCAGCAAGAAATTATGTTAATCAAGCTCATGGAGACCTATTAATATTAGAAAAATAAAAAGCCCAATATCTTAACAGTGTGAAGCAGATCTAATACAATTAGGGGGTGGATGTGGGGGTGTGGGGAGGAGAGTTCCTCTCTAAGCAAGTGAAAGGGTTTGGTGATAGAACTAATCTGACTTAAGTACAGCCTCAAAGTGGTTAACCAAGGATAAACGGTGTGCTCAGTTGTTCTCTGATACAGGAGAAAATAAAGTGCAAACAACTTCATGATTAAAAAGCCAAAGTGGTTAACCAAGGATAAACGGTGTGCTCAGTTGTTCTCTGATACAGGAGAAAATAAAGTGCAAACAACTTCATGATTAAAAAGCC